GGGACGCAACATGGCAAAGCAGTCCGGTCGCTGTTTGGGACCTCGGGTCTCTTCAGCGGTCGCAGAGGCTGCATTCGCCGTGACATGATGTGGTGTTGTGGGGCGCCGATTTGGTACTCGCAAGGAACCTGCATGAGGTCGTAGGGGTCTGAATATGATGCCTTGGTTTTGAAGCCATTAACGGTGATATTGTCGATATCAATATCACACTGACGAGCATCCAGCTGAATTTCTTCGAGGTCCGGCTCGATAGGGAAGATGACCATCGTAGATACTCCATGGACACTCTTGTTCTGGAGATCGACCTCGATCGCAACGTGCTGCTTGAGCACGACAAATGGGAGAGCCGCAACTGGTGGTGGTGGCAGATCGTCTCCTCCAAGTGTGAGGTCGCCCGCGGCGCCGTTTTCAACCGTGAGAGACATGGCGGGCTGCGAAATGCGATCGGATCGTGATGAAAGGTTGAGAAATCGATTCCGAGTTGAAATGCGGATGCAGTCGCGAGTCGTGGAAGGTGGGCGAGTGTTAGCACTGCCTGCGAGAGAAAACTGTGATTGAACAGGTCGGCCTCTCAAGGCTCGCGGAGATGGGACCTGTTCAGTCGGTCATGGCAGTTCGTCAGTGTGCCACGTATGGAAGAGTGACGGCCGTAAAACGGGAGGATAGTGGCTTCGCTCGATGGATGATGGATGGTAGTCTCGTTGGCTGGATTGAGATGCACACGCGAGAGAAACCGGTGTTGGCAATGGTTTGGCGACAAAACCGGGAGCTTGAAAATTGACTGTTGTGGCGGGGAGGGAGAGAGAGCGAGAGGCGTCGTCGGTGTTGCAAAGCCAAAATTCAGAGCAGCAGCTCGCGGTTTGCGGTTTTGCGAAATGCGCCGGCGCCCCGCAACAGGGCAAGCAGTTAGTTGTTCGCCAGGCAGCACAGTGTCAGAGGTGAGGCTACAGTATCCAGTAGCAGCGCAGGCAGAACGAGTGATGGAATGGCACGGCGGAGGGTTCGCCGGGGATTGCTGCCGTCGTGGTTGACGCGATCGAGAGCCAGGCCTTGGCCCAGATGCGGAAATGGTCCCAACTCCGCTAAGCTTCAGTGGAATACTGATTACCTGCCGAAGTTTTGCCGGGGCATCTCTGATAAGATAAGCCGATAAGAGCTCCAGACTGATGTCATTGTTCACAACATCAACAATTCACTTTTCAACATTATATATTTCATTGCTTGTTGGCTTACTGCGATAACTAATGTAGCTTCGTTATTTACGAGGGCCATTTTATTCTTAACCACATTGCTTCACATTTTCCCGAGCATGGATCATAGAGTCTACAGCTAATATAAACTTTGAGAGGCAGTGACAACACTACATCCCTTGTTGATCCGGCCTCTCAAACATCGCTGGAGAATAGGCTCGAAGATCACAGGTGACGAAGGTAATGAGATTATATGAGGTTACTCATTTGATCAACAGCAAGGCAGCTGATCGCCAAGTGGTTTTTATGACAAGGCTGCTACAATGTTCGACACCAACAGCAACACAACTTGCACAGTATGATGGCTCAATCAGTCGTTGGGAATGGAACAGACGGAGAGAACCCAAGATATTCGTCCAAGTAGTAAAGATGTCAAACAGAACAAAGTATGGCAAACATCTTCCTGAGTTCTTGCTAATCAGCCCACGACACCTCTTGCAACCCAGTTTCGATCCAGGTGCCAGAATCTTCAAAGCCAGAATTTCTGCGCCGGCTGATTACCCAAACACTAAACCTACACCTCACCTCCTCACTTGCGGTGAGGCATCAAACCCAGATCCCAACTCCAGCCTGGTGCCGAGAGACAGCCTCACCGTCTGCCCACCAAGTCCAGACCTCACCTTTGCCATCTTTGCGGTGAAGGAATTCTCAAAATCAGACTTCTAGTCCCGTTTCATCCTCACCCCTCAAAAAATTGTGACGAAAAAAACCCACGATAGGACTCCAACAACAGCCTCAACCCGGTGCCACCTCACAAACCCCCACCACACCTTCCCCATTCAGACACAAACGAGACTTCCCATACCCGGTAGTATAGTTCATGTCTGTCTGCGTGTTCCTACATATGCAGGTTCAGTGAGTCACCGCCCCCCTCTCCCCATGTAAATATTCCTGCCCAATACTATCTCCCAAGCAAATGCCGATGAAACGAAACATTTTCATCCACTTCATGACTCCTCTGGCCCGATCGTCCGGAGAAACAAAGCAACTGAAACGGTGAAACATGCAGCTAGCTTTCACCTGCAGGAAACAAAACTGGATCTAGAAGCACAAGATCTCTCTCCGCCTTTATGACTCTTATTCTTCTGCATGTCGATGTGTTGGGCTGGTTAGGAAAGTCTTGGGGTAGGTTGTGGGTGACTGATAGCCAATCGACGGACCGAAACACGAACTTGACAGGTGAATGGCACGTGGTTGTGGCATTTTCAGAGAAATGATTGGCTGTATTCTTGCAGCGTGGTGACAGGGGAAAAGGAACGAATCGGGACGAGGGGCAGAATCGCGAGCCATACACGACCGGGCCGCAACGGGAACGCCAGAAGATCGCGAGGTCACGGGATCTCGTGGAGCAAGAGAAACAAAGTTGCTCGGAAAGATGACATTATTCCCGGGTAATTCTCGTCTAGGGAACTCGTAAGCCGGGAAAGTCGGGGAGAAGGCTAGTACGTATAAGCGCCCGGTGAGGCGGTGCAAATGGACCCTACGTCAGATTCAAGCAGAACCGTTGACAAGAAGCAGGAGTTGAAATCGGAGACCGGAAAGGCAAACATGAGAAACTCCGGGGTCGGAGATTCGGTCTGGCGTTCTGGCGGCTACTGAAAATCTTCAGCCATCTCAAACTGCTTGAACTGCTGCGGCCGCCGAAGGAGGAGGGGGAAAGCTGATCTGATTGACTGCGGCGGCTGTTCACGAAGCACAGCTTAACAAGCCTTTGCTTGGTAATGTTAGCGCTGGCAGCGGTGGCACAGCAGATTGTGCTAACAGATCGTCGTAATACTCTGCCGGATGTTACACGCGGGCGGAAGCGGGAAGATGGGCGGTTGTGGGCGCTTACAATGTCAAGCGTCAAGCGAGCTGGGCGGATCTCTCCGGGCGGCTATTTCATAGACCCAAGTCCCAGGGAGCAAAGACCGATATTGGTCTCATATCCGCAACCGCTCAACGGGCTACTACATCGGACGCTCATAAGACAGAGCAATCTCAGCAGGCGCTCGCTTCTCTAGTGAGATTTGCGTCCAGGGAGACCCAGGACAAGACCATGACCGAAGCTTGAGGAAGAAAAGGGAGATCTAGATCCGCAAATGCAAGCATGGGTAAACTCTATTCCCAAAATTAGTACATACAAAAAAAATCATGAGGCCAGACCATGAGAATTGTGAGGCGGGCGTGATGCCCAAGGGTTCAAGGGTTAGAAGTGAAGCCATGTCCGGATGCCCAATATCATGTGTTGGCCGAATCCAGAGTGCAGTTGATATGAAGTCAAGTGCGGGGTTGTATGCTCGACGTTGTATGAATGAATTCTCCGAGGAAAGCCACAGGCGTGGCTGACCAGTTCTAGATGGCATCCCCCGCTCTGCAGCCCCGGATTTGTTCTCGTCTGGCCATCGCCATATCAGATGTTTGTCGCGATGGATGGCCGTGTCGTGGTTCGAGTCGCCAAAAACCGCGAAGAGCGTGGGTGGATGGTGGGACGGTGGTACGTACCGTGAAAAGAAAAGCGCGGCGGCAGCGTGTCGTCGAATGGCAGCTCAGAACCAGGAACGCTGGATGTTCCCCACAGCGAACGATTGGCGCCCGGCAGCTGGCCAGATGGACCGTTGCGCAAGCTCCAATGCAAGACTATGTGTCTAAATTTGAATGACTCATAGACGCTGCATGAAGGAGCTCTCGGACCTATCAGAGGCGTGGTCTTGCATCTTCAAGTCGTTTTTCAAAAGAAAATGTTCGGGGTCTTGTTCGCTGTTTATGAGGGGAAAGAACTGAGGTTGAGAGAAGCTCTGCTGTGGGGGAGAAATGCGGGAGTTGGTGGAGAGCTTTGGGGGAGGAACGGGGAGCTTGGGCTACCAGAAACCTCTTTGTCCGTTCGAGGTCTGAATCTCGCACTGGTTCCGACATGTGCCAGACAGCGCAAAAGGGGCCGTGCGACAAAATCACAAATCTAGCGCGGCACCAAGCCATTGTTTCCAGCGATCTCTGCTCTTTGTGTGGTGGCCATCTGATATTGAAGAGCCGCCGAGCACGGGCCACTCCCGGGTACGTACCTTGTCTAGAGACGAGAACCTCAACACCCAACCTCTAACGTGGCTGCTTTCCTCCCTCCACTACGAATCCGCTACTGCCCGGCAGACGTTGAGTGACATGATCGTTCCGGGTCGACGCCATCGCTCTCCGCGTTTCAGGTTTATTTTCATCCACTGGGAAAGCAGGGCTACCTCTGTCTGCAGCTGTGTAGGGCATGTTTGCATGTACATCCCACTTGGGAGAAGTGGAAGACACTTGACAGCAGCCCTGCCCTTTCTGGCGGCGTGGGATTGCCGTCCTGTCCGCTCCTGGCTTGGATCGCTTCGCGGTACACGCCCTACACGCCTACCACGTCCCACACGCCCTACACACCCGCGCCCATCTCCAGATATCGCGCCCCCAGCCAGTCCCTGTGGACCTACCGGGCTGGTGCATCATGGGCCCGCTCCAGCCGGCCACCCATGGCCTATGATCCCCCGGTTCTGATGTTCTGATCTTGCGACGAGGATAAGTATCCTCTTTTTCCCACCTCTCGTTTCTCATGTTTCCATTTCCAGTATCAGACATCACCAGTCTTCCATCATCTTTCCTTTGAAACAAAGGGCTTCTCTGGAGAGCTCGGCTTGAAGCCATCCCATCTCTTTCTGTCAACTCATACACACAACGGAGCCGGACTCCACATCGACAACTACACTAATTTTAGTAATCAACCTCCCCCAGGCAGTCACCATGGCCTCGTAAGTAAACAACAGTCGAAGTAAACAGAGGCGATCTTGGCGGCTAACATTTCTTGCCATCAATCAGTCTTGGAGAAGTCACCTTTGACTTCACATTCCCATGTGATCCTTCAACGCCTCCCAGCTTCACCTTTGACCCATCTCTTTTGGAGATCCCCTACAACCAAGGTCATGCTCGCTCCAGCTCACTTTCATCCATCTACTCTTTCGAGTCCACACCATCAGAGCCCGTCTCGGCACCCAGCACCCGCCGGACCACCCCAGCCCGGTCTCCCATCCGGACTCATGGGCCTCTTCTCCTGCCCAAGATCCGCAGCCAGGATCAAGCCATCGGCCCTTCCGCTGCTGCCCCGGCTGCCAAGCGCCAAAGGACATCACCAACCCCAGCTGCCCCCAACAAGAGCGCCTACCGCCCAACACACGCCCGCAGCTACACCAGCCCAGAGGCCATCTCCTTCACCAGCTCGGTCTCTTTCACAGATGAGAGCAACCCAGCACCTCTTCTCTGCTCCCCCGTGAGCTTTGCCCACGATTCCGCCGCAAACCACTCCCGGAGAGCATCTTCCTGCAGCGTCGAAAACATCAGCTTCCCCAGCCAGGTCACATCATACCGCCCCATGCCCACATACGTGCCCGCCAGACGCACCAGCACAAGCCCCACACCGCCACCCCAACCCCAACCCCAGACCCATCTCTCCCAACCCGAACAGTACAACCTCTACCAACAATATATCCCAAGAGCGCCATCACCATTGGCCGCTGCCGCCCCCATCGTCCCAGACATGACCCCCTCCACAACCCTCTACTCCTACCTCACCTCCTCCAACCCAGCCCCATCCCTCGTCAGGAGCATCTCCTTCCCCCTCCGTGACCCGAACATCAAGCACTTTTGGTGGGACGTCCGCCAGATCAGACCATGGACCAACTTCACCGCCCAGAGCCTCCTGTCTCTCCCCGGCGCGGAGTCGTGCCTTTCCACCCCGCTCTCAGCGGCTCTGCTGCCCAGCATTTCCGCCGGCGGGCAGAGACACCCCGAGACGGAGGCGGCGCTTCACGGGATCTACGCGGGGTATTACCTCCCCAAGCTGAACAATGCCCTCGCGCTGTCGTCAACACAGCCGGTGCAGCTGTCGGTGCCGAAGAAGGCTGCTGCTGGGATGAACACGGAGTGCATGTTTGTGGGCAACGTCCCCGGCGACGAGGCCAGCGCGGCGGCGATCTTCGGGGGCAAGCCGATGGCGAGGGTGGTGGGGATTGTCAAGAGCTTTGATCGGTTCAATACCGGGATGAGGGTGGAGGGGAATGTGAAGAGGGTGGAGTACCTCCGCGGTCTTGCGCATCTGCATCATGCGATGAGGGAGCACGGGTGTAGGTATGGGTTTATTCTGACCGAGATTGAGCTTGTGGTTGTGAGGAATGGGGGGGAGAGGACGCCGCATTTTGGGTTTTTGGAGGTGACGAGTGTGCAGCTGAACAAGACTGACGATCTGGAGGGGCCGGTGGAGGCGGAGAATGCGGAGATGACGGCTTGTTTGGCGCTTTGGGGGTTGTGCATGCTGGCTGGGGATGGGGCGATGCCGGGGGAGGCGCATTGGAAGAGCGAGATCGGGGCGCCGGCGGAGGGGACGAGGAGGAAGGCTTTGGAGAGGGATGGGTGGATGCCGCAGCCGCAGTTGGCGGAGAAGAGGGAGGCGAAGAGGAGTAGGGGGTGGGTTTGGCCTGAGGATGCGGTGGGCAGGAAGGAGTTGGGGAAGAGGGGGGTTAGGTATGGGGGTTGTTAGTTAGATTGCATGGCTGGTTCATGATGAAGGGTCTGTGACTCTGGTGAAGAAAAAAAAAGAATAGTGAGACTCATGACTGACGACTGGTTTCGGGTGGGTCATGGGGACTCGAGGATTGGAGTTTTGGATATGGGAGTGGGCATTTGGGTACATTTTTGATAGTTAATACAAAGTTCAGATGATCAACACCTTTGACGTTGACTTTCTGTGATATTGTGCGCCTCTTCATCCCAGCAATCCACCATCAACCCTCTCCAACCCAACCTCTTCTCCCAAAGTCCCATCAACACCCATTGTCCCAAATCCACAGTAAAGCCCTCCAACCCATCACCAAAATACCCCACCGACACTCCCCGTTGCTTTTACGTCTCCATCCTAGACTTGAGATAGCGATGTAAGCTGGTTCGAGGTTTCGCCTCTGCTTCTCTGTCAGTGTGGTAAGCAGTTCATTCAATAGGAGACACCGCCTGCTGGCGATGATGGGTAAGCTTAGATGGTTGGGAATGCCGCGCGGCCGGGCCGTGATTAGTAAGGAGTCCCTCGTAGGATAGTTTATATTCCGACTACTGCTGGGGCTGAGATGGATGGGAGGTGACAGGGGGGAAGCGGGTGGTTTATCTTTGTATGGCTAAACAGATCTATCTTGTTGATGAAGATTACGACGGCTCATTTGGACATTGTTGTTACCTTTTCTGTGGGTTATCTGGGAATTGAAAAGCTAGCTAGAGGAGTTTGTGATGTGTTTGGATGTACTCATGTATGATGAAGTTGACAACTTTGGTGGAACTGGCCTTGATTGGATAATATTGGTGTTTGAGTTGTGGCACTTGGACGCAGTGCTTGGGCTCAATATTTGGGTTGTGGGTTGGGTGTATCAGTCGATGAATGGGGTGTTTGTGTGTAGTTGTCTTTGGTAAATCTGGTTTTATACTATCAGCATGTGGGCCCATGAAGGTCGGAACCTCTTAGATCGGAACAGCTTCCGTAACCGCTACCGGGCCGGGGCTCATAATGGGATCCGCCACGGAACCTCCGTGCCAAGCCGGACTGGATTTCGGAATGCTTCTCAAGCCCTGCCGGGCAGAAAAGAGGGTTAGGGTTAATACAATGGCTGACAAATTACCCCCTCTTTGCCCCACTGCAATCTTGGCTCCAGAGCTGCGCCTTCGTGATGGACCTTCTCCTTTTCTCAACAGTCGCCAGTGCGTCAGGTGCATGCTCGGAGGGCACAAATCACTGAACAGGAAGCTTGCCATTGGCACTCTTATCCATTGTTTTGCCAATGGAATCGACTGACTGAATGGGTAGAGTGAAGTGGGGCTGCGTTAGTCGCATCTGCACTGCGCTGTGCTGTCGCAGTTGAGGGCGCTGTGGTGGCTGCGACAATCCAAACCATAGATAGGGTGGTTAACCTCTGGGACAATAACCCAAAATAAAACCGTAGCTATAGAAAAATAAAAGAAACAATATTGTGGCTTCATTTTTGAAAACACCAGTCGGTCGCACGCCCTCAGAAGCAGCCTTCTTTGCTAGGTATTGTCCAGCCAGAACTGGATTGAAACCACACCATCAACCCCCAGGTCGACGAGTGGTCACAGCACAGCGAGCGGCCCCAAAACTCGCAGCAACGCTCTTCGGTGCCAAGCGACCTTTTCAATTCCCAACTTCAGTCAGCGACAGTTGCGACTTGATATCGGCAGCAGGAGCATGTGCAGCGGACCATGACAGACACGCTGCACAATGGCCATGACATCCTCTGCGACCCGCTCCAAACGAACCGAGGGTCTCCATGCCACCATCTCGCACCCCAAGTTGCTCTCCAGCAGCAGCGCTGACTATCGCCGCCCTGTCGCGACCGCCATGCCGAAGCAGAACAGCAAACAATTCCCGCTCAGCCCGACTCGCGCCTATGGAAAGCGACATCTCGACCTCTCGTCTGGCAATTGCGATGCCGTCATACCAAAGAAGGCCAGGATTGCCGTAGAGATCCCGGCGAGGCCCTCGTCGTACCACGCCCGAGTTGCGAAAGAATCGGCCGACGCGCCACCATTGCCGCTGCCCACCAAACCCACTGTCGCGGCGGCGGCACCACCACCACCCCAACCCCGATCTGCGATACCGACACGAGCCCCGCCGGCGCAACCCGCGACAGCAAACAATGCCGAGAAACACCCTACTAGCCTCACAAAACATCAGGAAAAGGTCGTCAATGGGCTCAAGCATGAGCTCAGCAGACTGCAGCCGAACACGGAGGACACAACGAGCACCACCCAAAGCCAGGGTCGCAAGTTGAGGTCACAAGAAGCCACTCGTTTCAAGAGTGAGCTCTCTGCTTATTTTCCCGAGTACGATGAGGTCATTGGCAACGACCAGAAAAAAGAGTGTGAGTTTATCTTGCATATTGTCATCTCCATTCAACTGCTAACCCGTTCGCGTCCTTTAGACTCGTTGAATCTCGAGACTCCAGTCGCCGTAGTATCCGATACCGCACCTCCTCCCTCTGCCTGGGCTTCCAAACCTCCAACCTTCCCAGTCGAGAGCTGGGGCGATAAGTTGTACACCGACCTCCACGACTGCCAACGAATTGACTTTGCATTCCTCGCAAAGCAATCCAAGCCACTTGATCCCTCACAGCACCAAGCAGACCCCTTGCCCGATAGTTATTACGAACCAATCCATAAAAAAGAAGAAAAGCAAGAGCGCTCGGTACGAAATACCGAAAAGATTCGTGCCCAACATGAACGAGACCAAGTCATCCGCCTCCTGGACGGCCTCCAAGGCCCAGACTGGCTCAGAATCATGGGTGTGAGCGGCATCACCGAATCCAAAAAGAAAACCTTCGAGCCTGCGAGAGAGTATTTCGTCAAGGGTTGCGAATCCATCCTGGATAAGTTCCGGCGATGGACGGCGGAGGAGAAGAGAAGGAAGCGGGAGAAGGAAAGGAAAGCGAAATACCTGGCCGACAGGGAGACTGCCACGAGTGAGGAGAAGGATCTTGAGCCCTCTGCTGGGTCCAGCCGTGCCACGTCTACAAGTCATGAGGAGAAGCATACGAAGAAGAAGAGGAAGAGAGAAGTGGTGGTTCCGGATAGCGAGGATGACGCTATGGGTGATGATGAGCTGGATGGTGAACCACCAGATGATGCTGAGGAGAGTGACGTTGATGCTTCTGTCGCTAAACAGCTTCGAGAAGAGGCTCTTGCGGCGGCTGCTAAGAAGTCGTCTTTGAATTCTAAGCCGCCACCGAAA